CACCCAAATGGCCCTTTGACTCTGGGCTGTGTGCCTGGGGTTTAGCCCAGTGCCTGGATGTGCTTGGCCTTCAGTGAGTGAGAAACACCCCCACGGCTTGACTGGGGTCCTTTCTAGATGTCTCCTGAGACCATCCCCATTTCCCACTGTCAGGCCTGAAAGGGCACCCAAATGACAGGCCTCAGGGCAGAAGGGTGCCAGGATCACCTTTCATGCCCAGGACTGGGCCTGGCGGGGTGGTCTGTGCCCAGAGTGGTCAGTGCTGGTGCTCAGGGAGGTAGGTGTGGGGACAGGGCCCTTCATGGACTCCGGTCCCTCTCCCAGGCTCAGGGTCTGACATCTGTGTGTGTGTGTGTGTGTGTGTCTGTGGTGTGGAGAGGGAAGCCGCTCTGGTGTGAAACTCTCTTCTGTTGTCTCCTCCATCACCAGCAGAATGGGAGAGGCGCCCAAGGTCCCTGAGAGAAGATGAGATGAGAAGATGAGACGCCAATGCCAGGCGTGGGCTCATGTCTCTGTGTGCATGTGGATGTGAGTGAGAAGCCCCTGCCCCGCCCTGTCTTTGTGAGCATGTCTGGGTACATCCCTGGGGCCCTGTGGGTTGTTTTTGTGCCCAGTGTGGCTGTTGACATGACCTGTAGGTTTCCAGAGTGTGTGAATGTGGCACTGCTCACCCCAACGCCCCACCTCCTCCCTCCCCTGGACTTTCCTGGAGTCCAGGCTTTGTCCAGTCGTTTGGCCTCTGCCCTTCCCAGCACAGAACTGTCGGCGTGGTCGGTGGTGGGAACTGTCATCACTGGATGCCAGCCCTCAGGTGTATCACCCTGTGTGACCCTGAATGCAAGTGTGGCTGGGTGTGCCTGTGAGTCCCTCCACCTGTGTGTTAGACAGTGACGTTCCTGTGTGATGCCTGTGAAAGGTGTGAGGGTGGCTTTGAAGTGTGTTGAACATGCACACCTGAATGCATGCAGAAGCGGTGGAGGAGCATGTCAGCATCCTGTGGTGGAGCAGATGGAGGTGGCTGGAGGGCCTGAGGTGCCTGGGCTGCTCCCTCTGGCCCAGTGAGGCCCCTTCCACTTCACTTGTGTCAACAAAGCCCCTGCCGTCCTTTCTGAGGCCCTTCAGAGTTGTCATCCCTCACCCTCGCCCTGAGCAGTGAGTTTGATGGACTGTGCGGGGTTGCAAGGTTGTGAAATTGTATGGCTGGTTGTGACTGAAGTGTGCAAATCATGTATGACCGTGAATCTGAGGCCCAAGAGTGCCCTGGCTAACCCCACCCTCTCTGGGCAGGTCAGGGGACTCCAGGCCACTTGAGCCTAGCTCTGGTAGGTCTCTGGGCTGGTTCATTCTTTGTTCACCCTTTTATAGCCAGGCTTGGTGACAGCTATCTAATTACCCTGGGCCAGACGCTGTGGTGAAAGCAGAGTTTAGCCTGACCCTCTGGGGGAAGAGCCAAATCTACCCTCATCCAGGGCCAAGACACAGGAGGCCAGACCTCCCCAGGGTCAGGCCCCAGGCCAGTGTCACCTGGTTCACCAGTCTGTCTTCCTGCTCCAGCTCAGAGAGTCTCTGGCTGGCCCAGCACTAGCATCTGGGCTGGTCCCTGTGTCAGCACCACACTGCCTGGTCCGTCATCCAGGGGCTGAGCCACCCAGCCTGTGTGTCTCCACCACTCCCCACCTGGGTTTCTCATGCCAGCCTATGCCTTCTACCAGCTCACGCCCTTCATCCCCACCTCTGTTTTCCATCCCAGTCCGTTTCTCCTGGTCCTAGCTCATGTCCCTTTATTCCAATCTCTGTCCCCTCCCAGCCACGTCACCACCACATCCAGCCCATACCCCCGCCCCAACCTACGGCACCTAATCTAGCCCATGCCCCCAGGTTTGCCAACAAGGGGGGTAAAGCTTTGGAGCTGAGCAGTTCTGGGCTGGACAGGACAAGTCCACTCCTAACCCCAAAGCCTTTAGGACTGGAGGGAGGGAGCAAAGCGGGGAGGGGTAAGAGACATTCCGGGTGGGGAAAGCGCTGGCCCCTCCGGCCTGAGAACAAGGGAAGGGCTGAGCCCAGAGCCGCCTGCAGTGCCGCACCTGGCTGTCCTCACGGGCCAACACACGCCCTTCCAGGCGTCCAAGCCAGGGGCCAAGGCTCAGAGTTCAGCCAGGCCTGCAAACAGCCCTGCTCCTCTTTCGTCCTCACAGCAAGGCTAGGGTGACCTCTCACCCAGAAGGGTCGGGCTCAGCTGACTCTAAACCTCACTCCCCAGACTAAAAACCCATGTTCAGTTGTGTGTCAAGCTGTGTCCTGGGGCATCCCCGTGCGAACCCTCTGGGTGTGTTCATAGGACCCCTCTTGAGGCCCCTGTGGCAGCAGCTGGGATGAGACAGGAAGAGGAGGAAGACCCTGCTCTGAGTGGGCATGCTGCCCATCTGCAGCTGGCTTTACCCATCTGGAGTGGGCACAGCTCACTGAACTGAACTTCCCTGCCTCAGGGCCCTGTGCTTTGGGGTGGAGACAGCACAGTTGCTGAGTGTCTGGGCCCTGAGGCACCATCTGGCAGCCATCAGCAGACCCTGGGAGCACCGCAGGTGCTGAGGTGTGGCAGAGGAAGGAGGTGGTTGGCCTGGCTTCCCCTTCCCCACAGTTCTCCCATGGCCCTCTGCCTCACACTCCCATATCTGAAGTATTCTGTTTCTTTCGGTGAGAGCCTGTCCTCTCCTGCCCTCTTCTACCCATCAGCACATATCTGTCTGGTCTGCGGGTCCCCTCCTTTCCCCTGTGCTAACTCCTGCCCTCAGGCTCTCGCTCTGGTATCATCTCACCTTGTCCATGACACCCTGGGCAGGCAGGCTCAGGGTCACTGGCGTTTGTCCACCTGAGTGTTGAGCCCACACCCCATGCCCCCTTTACATGTTCTGGGACCTAAAGCCCCTTGCCTGAGGGAAGGTCCCTGCTCACCCCAAGCTTCTTGCTGCCCCAGCAACCTGAGGAATGTAAACGGGTCTTTGAGGTGAGGGATGCTTCCTCCTTAATCACTGCTTGGGGTGGTTCAAAGTTCCAAATACCAGCTTTTAATTCCTGGAAGATGTAAATCTTCCCTTCTGGGGCACTGAAGTATAATACCAAAAAAAAAAAAAAAAGATGGGGCCTCAGGACCCTTGAGCTCCAGTCCAGGCTCTGCCATAGACATCTGGGTGACTGTGGGCAAGTCATTTGCTCTCTCTGAGCCTCAGTTTTCCCATCTGTAATGTGTGGGGGTCAAGTTGACTCACCCAGTTCAGATCTAGGGTCCTTCCATGTCTCTGATTGGCTTCAAAAACTCTGATTGGCTTTGGTGGTGTTTGACAGGACACAATCAGGATTTGTGGGAAATGGTTCCAGTGGTCAGACCATAGTGATGGTCAGACCCACTTTGAATGGCAGCCCTACCAAGTTGTGTGACCCTAGTGAGGGCACATAGCCTCTTAGACTCTCGATTTCCCCATCCATGCTTCGGGATAGTAAGGCTTCCAAGGGTACACTGCTCACAATGGATGTAGAGCTGGGCACAGAACAGGCACCGGCAAGTGGAGGCTGGCTTGTTCTGGCTGCTGACCCAAATGCCTGGCCCTTTCACAGTCTTCCCAGTCCTGGATTTTTTAACCTACTAGGCCCACGCCATCCCAGCTGGCCAGATCCTGCCCCACATAGCCCTGGCATTAGCAGAAGCCTGCAGCCTAGGCCCCCTGCTATGGCTCCTTCATAGAATGAACCCACACTCCTAGGCCTTCAAGGTCTTCAAGACTCTCCCCAGCAGGACCCCAGCAATGTGTACCTCCTCCTCTGTGCAGCCTGCCTGTGTCCCCAGGCAAGGGTGTGCTTTCTCCTCCGTGTTCCCACAGCCCCCTGGCATATAACCCAGTAACACCTGGCATTATATTGCCCGATGCCTGTGTGTTACTGCTTCCTCTTCACACATCAACACATGCCAAATTATGCGCTTTTTTGAGGGTAGAGACTGTGTCTTCTTTGTATCCCCAATACTCAGGACAGAGCCTGGCACTCAGCAGGTGCTCCCTAAATGTCAGTTGAATCCATGAACCATTGGATAGATGAGCTAACCTTTGCAGTCTTGTCTCCAGGTGGGGAGCCTCGGACGGGTGCCCTGGCTACCCCTGATTCTTCCCAACCTGCCCTTCCACCCTCATTCTTCTCTGCTCCACCAGTGGGAAACCTACCCTCCCCCTGCCCTGGGTCCAGCTGAATTTCCATTGCCGACAGTTTATGCGCAGAAGGGGTGACAGGCTCTGCCAGCAAGGGCTTGCTCTCAGCACGCAGCCGGCAAGAGCCGCAGGGGCACACAGGAGGGGCCCTCATCCAGGGCCAGTTTGCCCACACAGCGCCGATTAGAGAACCTGGGTGGGGTGCTCAGCTTGGCAATGAGAAACAGGTGTCACCTCCCTGGTAGATTTTAGCCCCTATCAGTACCTCCTCCCACAGTGCCCACCTGTACAACCCTGACCTCACTCAGCCTGGCAGGGCTACAGTTCCTGAGAAGTCTTTGACCGCTTTGGCCACTCTCCTGTCTTCTGTTCCCTCCTCTCCTCTGGCAGACACAGGGTACCGTAGCTATGTGTGGCCCCAGCACCAGCCAATTCTCAGTCCTTTGTCATAATGTTTTAAAGGAATAAAATAAAACTACAAAAGGTTATACAGGAAAATAATTATATTGAAACACAGTTATCAAAACACGTTTTTTTGATATAGTAATATAGATGCTTCTTTATTAACACATTAAAAACAAAGAAGGTCTAACTATGGTCATTTCAAAGTAGTGATGAGAGTAAACTGATTTTGAGATATCTCCAAAGACTATAACATAGTTTGAAAACATCTGTGATTTCTATGGGTTACAAGGTCACAGGCACTGTTAAAACTATTGAGGCTTGTTGCCCAAGTACATAAGAGAATGTTGTATTGCAGTTACAGGTGAGTGAAAATAAAGATGTAACTTTTTTTCTACTTAGGTTCACAACACTCCTGAAATCCATACACCCCAGTCAAGAGCCTCTGATTACAGAATGGAATGTGAAGGGGAAAAGCATCATTGATTGAGCCTTATACTTCCTGTCATCTGATCCTTACAGCAGCCCTGAGAGAGGTGTGTTCTGACTCAAGTTTTCTAATGAGGAACTTCAGGCTCAGAGAGGTAGGATGAGCTGTCCAAAGTCAACCAGGTCCAGCTCAGGGCCCCCCGACACTCCCTCCACACAGAGGTGCCTCCTTCGGGGAGTCAAACCACGGAACAAGGTGTTCAGTTGACCTTTGGCCCCAGAATCCCCTCCCCCAAACAGAACCCATGACCTGTGGGGTTTAACCAATGTACAGAAGGGTGATGGCCCCCGGAAATCACACACACTCAGTTATTTTTATCTCCAGTTTATTTTTTTAGACTAAGAGCAGAGTATGAAAGTCACAGCCAAAGCACTTGAAAAAGGCCCAGGAGGATGGGTGGGGACCACAGAGGGTGGGCAGGGCGCGGTCCTGGGAGTTGGGTCCAGCTTGGGGAGGAGGGAGGGGGTGTTGTTGTTTCACGGTCTCCAAAAGTGTCTGTGCGTTGCATAGGTCCTGTCTTCACAGAAGACAAAAGAGGGGCCAGGGGGTCCCCCAGTGGGAGGCCTAGCCTGGTGGGGAAGGGGTCTGAAGCTGGAAGGGGACGTTGAGGAAGGTCATGGGGTTAAGGAGGGGGAGGGACTCTGTCCGTCTGTACATTATATATAGAGATATAGAGTCTGTACATGCCTGCCTGGCACCCAATGCCCACCCCTTGTCACCCTTGTCCACTGCCCCAGGGGTGTCTACTTGTAAACTTGGATTTGATCCAAACCACAATCCTGGGAGTAGGAGTTGGGGAGGAGGACATGCTTATTGCTGTAAACAGAGGAAGGGGCAGTGGGCAGTGCCACCCCCTTGCCCATCTAGTCCCCTCCCCATGTTCTGCCCCTGGAAGAGAGTGATGGGGGTACCTCCCATGCTTCAGTGTTCTCTCTGGGGCATATTGTCTCTCAGGGGGACAATGAGGGAGGGCACCAGGGGTCAGAGAAAGGTACCAGGGGGCAGGGAGTCCTGAGCACTGCCCTTTACGGGCCCCCAGTTTGGTGCCAAACATTACAAGAGTCACAGGCCACCTGGAACCTGTGGCTGTCCCTGCACCTGGTCCACTACAGTGCCCTGTGTGGGGGGAGAGGGGGCAAAGGGGACGGGCACAGATGTATGGTGCAGACCCAACTTCCAGCCACCAGAGGCGGGATCTAGGCCCCACACCTCAGCTTCCCTTGGGCAGGCCAAAGGCTCCCTGCTCTTTCCCAGCCCTGCCCATCTCTCCCAGCCAGGGGATGGGACAGAGCTAGGAGGCCAAGAGTGTCATAAGGAAGAAGGCGATGCCCACCGCCAGGGGCAGGTGTTCCCGCTTGGGGCTGGTCCCGCTGATGCTCTTCTCAAGCTTGGGCACCTGGGGGTTCTCTCCCTCAAAGTCTTCTGTGGACAGATGAATAGACAGACTGGTGAGGGCTGGGCTGCGTGCCTGGTCTGGGGCACGCGGCAGCGGCAGCAGCAGTGGGGCGGGGACGTGACCACCCACGGGGTAGGAAGGCTCAGTGCCTCCAGGTGTACGGCATGCAGGTGAGCAGGCACCGGGGAGGGGGCTGCGGTTCCAGCAGTGGCCACCAGAGGGCGCTGCGCAGACTCACCCAGCACGTTGATCTTCACATTGGGGCCCATGGTGAACTGGGGGAGAGTGGGGACCGGCTTCTCCCCGGAATGCGATGCTGCGGGGTTGGGGTGCGGGTGGGGAGAGAGGAGGGGAGAGTCAGGGCCAGGACCCCCTACCCCTGCTACAGCTAGGGAGCGAGTCCCCCTCGCCTGTGCCCTTCCTCCACCCCCAGGAAGCCAGGGGAGCCCCAAAGCGGGGGAGCCGAGAATGGGGTCGCGGCTAGAAGCCGCTTGTACTCACTGGAGGCGCAGCAGACGAACACCTTCATCCTCAGACACTTCCAGTGCAGGTTGTGGGTGGGCGTGGCTGAGGAGGAGACTGGGTCTGAGTCACTTTCTCCCTATTTACACCCCATGCCCTCACTCAGAATCTCTCCTCACCGCTCCCCGCCCCATCTGTCCCTCTGGGGCAACGTCCTTCAGTAGCTCCCCCACCTTTCGGACATGGATCACGGTGGCTCCCGGGCAACCCTAGAAGCCTCTTTGTTTACATCCCTCAAGAAACCCTGACCCCTGATGTCCCGCCCGGAATGTCCCTTAAACTCTGCGGCCCGAACAGCCTCACGACTCTCTCTCAACTGAGATCGTGAAGCCCCCCATCTCCCGCTTCATCCCGGGGTATCACTCCTAGCGACGGAGACTTCACGGCCGCGCTAGCCTGTTCCCCGGCCGCTTGGGACCCCGCCCCTGGCTGTCACGGAGACACGCCCCTCGCCGCCCCGCCCCCGCCGGCGTCACTCACAGATGTAGTAGTACTCGTGGCCGGCGTGGAACTCGTAGCCCAGCGAGAAGGCGCTGTAGCGCTGGAACTTCTCCGAGAACTTGATGGGGCTGTGGGGGGCGTGCGGTCGGTTGCACTCCCAGCGCTTGAAGCCTTGGCTGGCGTTGCAGGTGCGGTAGCCCGCGCGGCTCACCATATACAGCACGTACTGCTCCGCCCCGCCTCCGGGCCCTGGCCCCGCCCCGGGGCCCACCCCGGAGCTGTTGTAGTGCGGACAGTAAATATCCAGATAATCGTTCACATTCACCTGCACAGTGTAGCCCTCTCGCCGCAGGCTGTGGGAGAAAGGAAGCGGGTCTGAGAGAAGAAACCCCAAAAGCAATCCGCTTTCCACCGCACCGCTCCGCAGGCCTTCCCCAGTGCCCGCCGAGCCGCCCGGCTTTTCTTCCGAGCTTCCTTTCTCGGTCTCTGTCTCTGTCCGCAGGGCCCTAGTGCCTCCAGTGCCCGCTCTATTCTTCCCGGCCCACTCCTTGTTCTGTCCTACTCCTAGTGGCCACCAGAGGGTAGCAAAGGCGCAGGGAAGCCCAGCCTGCCACCAAAGGCAGAGGCGGGGGAGTAGGGTGGAGGGGAGAAGGGAACGTCTCCTTCGGTTACCACAGAAACGGCGCAGGCCCCAGCGACTCCCAGACCCAGGCCCGGATTTCCACCGTCCGACCATCCCCCATAATTCACTACTGGGGAGGAGAAATAGAAGGAATGGAAGGGAAGGGTGAACGTGGGAGGGATCCCTTCCGAGGGATGTGCACGCGCCATCGCCTCTCCCAGCACGCTTTCCTGCCTCTGCCAGTCCACAGCCAAGGCTAGTCCCACAGGACCTACCCTCACGTACGCCTGTGTGGAGGTTTCATGCATATACATGCTTAAGTTTTATGGCACACACACAAATGTGCCTGTGCACCGCCCACTCATAGGCGGCATACACATAGGAAAGCTAGGTTGTGTGTGTGCTGGACTTGCATGCCAGTATTGGTTGACCCCAGCAATCTCAAGCCCTCTCCTTGCCCTTCATACACACACACACACACACACATGCTGGCACATGTTCTCTGTACAGTATCACTGGCCTCTGTACCTTGAGTCCCACTGACCTCCACCTTGAAGCCACGGGTTATTATGTGCCCCAAAATGTGACACAACAGATCAGGGAGCTAAGGGACTATAACGCCAAAGCTCCATGTGGAATAATGCCAATCAGCCTAAACTTCTGGCCCTATATACCTTCCCTCCCTCCTCAACCTGGGCACCACGACCCCCTTAAAGATGCTAGGCAAAGTAGCGGGCATAGTGCCCAGACAAGATGGCTGTGCCGCTTCCTTCCCTGCTCCCTCTCTGGGACACAGAGGGAGATGCTGGGTCCTGTGTAATCCCACCTGACTTGCTCATCATCATCAAAGTGTTGGTCTTACCACCCTTAATGGTGGTACTGAGTGGTGTGGGAATGGGAGGAACACCTGAATGGAGTCAGAAACTCAGAGAAGCAGGCAGGAGTTTCCCCTAATTCCCTCGGAGTAGGCATGTACACATCTTGGCAGTGAGAGGGGGCTGTGGTGGACATGGGGGTACTTGGCAAAATGTCAAACCACTGGGGTCCCTGGTCCCTGGAAACTCCCTGGGAGGAGGGAGTGACTTCTCATGTCGTCAGACACCTCCTAGTTCCACAGAGATAATTAGATCCATCTGAGAGAGGAGCTTGGAGGCCTGTGCATGGGGTGAACCTGTGAGGGTCCCTCCCCACCTTATCTACTTCCTGTCCTTGCCTGTGCCATCCCTCCCCAAGCACTCCCCAGCCTGACAGTAGGGCAGATAGGTGAGAGCTGGTGCTGGGCCACCCCAGTAAGAATGGCACAGCCTCCCTGAGTCATCAGGAATGCCACCAGCCCCACTAGGTTCCCACGGGAGTGATGGGTCACTCAGGCCCCTCCCTGGCCCTGGCACTCAGGTGGGCAGGAGTCTCAGCCTGGGGCACTGGGAGCTGGAAAACGAGTTAGACCAGGCCTTGCTCCCAGCCGCCACCCCAGGTTTGCTTCTCTATCCCCAGTCCCAAAGTCTACTGCTCCTCCTCCCAGGCTCTGAGGAGGGGGCCATCAGTGCTGGGTGCCAGGCCAGAGCAGCTGTACAGCCACATTGGGGCCTCAGGGTTTCCAGCCCTCCTCTGCAGTGCTTCCTCCCTTGGCACTGCCCAGTTCCCCCCATGACACACCCCATTCCAGCAGGGAATAAGCTAAAGCCAGAGCTATTCCTAAGATGCCTCGGTTTCCTCAATGGGGGCAGAGACCAACCTTACAGGAAGGTTGCTGAGCACCCACAGTTGAAGAGAAGCCATGTCTTACCTACCCCTGGGCTGGGTGGCAGGAAGAGACCCTGAAATGCCCCCCAAGCTGGGCATGTGGGAGAAAGACCGGCTTGTGGAATGGCTGTGCCCAGTTGGTATCTGGTGGGCAGGGGGCAGAAGGGCCTGGTGCCAGGAATCCCCAGCCACAACTCCTGGGAGACCTGAGGTATCTGCCGGGCTTGGGCGCTTTAATTGAATCTGTCATCCTCCCAGCCCTGGCAGTGAAGTGCAGAGGGAGGTGCCGCTAGGCGCTGGTGAAGCTCTGCACTAACTCCTCCTCCGAGGCTGCACCTCCCCAACCTAGAGGCGCTCCCCCACCCCCTTCCAAGGTGGGGCAGGTGGGGATCTGGGGAATGGGTTGTGCCTGCCTCTTCAAGCAGTCTTCTATTCTTCGGTACTTCATCCCCTACTAGCCTCCCATCTCTCTTGCAGAAAGACGAGTGCGGACACAC